CGAATTGGCGGTTATACCCTAAAACTACGTCCAGGCGTAGCAAGGATCGGCGGGCACCAGCTTTTGTTCAGTATCAGACTGGTTGCAGCGTGGAACGCTTTGCCCGAGTAGGATGTTGTCTTCTACGCCTATGTTAATGCATTTAAGAGCAAATAGGATACACATCAACCTACGCACTCACGAGCTGCACGCAAATAAATTACATCTAATTATACAACTCCTAATAATTTAGTAGCCGTTCATGTTTACTCTTTTCGACTGACCGATGGTTGCCCGCTTTTCGCCTACAATTATGTTAACAACCTTTCTGCGAATTTTCCTTTTGTATAGATGCGCTTATTAGGGACTGCGTAACCAAAAAGCAGTTGAAAAGCGTTCGCGTTTACTTCTCTTAATCAAAATGAATTTAACTAACGTGGACTGAGAACGGCTTTCCGAGTGAAGAGCACGAGCTCGATCTCGCACAAAAGAGTCTACACTCGCCTCCACATCCTTGCAGAACATAACCGAAAGACTGGACATTATGTGGAAATAATTAGTTCGTTAAGTTCAGGACCACAGTCAGATATTAGTTACAGATGCTTTATTAGAGACGAAGGAGAGGTCGATCGGTAAGGGTCTTGATGATTTATGAGCTTTCAGAAATTAGAGCGGGGTCTGTCTGATCATATCTTCATTAATGAGGGAGACGCTCACTGTAGAGACGGAACTAGATTAAGCAAAACTACTGCCGCAGCATCTGGCAAAATGTGCTAAGATTAATAAAAAGAAGTATCAACCAGGCCACCTTTTCCAGACAGACTTGCTTCGATCGGAGCGGGGGAGATTATTTCTGGACTGTTGGGTGTTAAGGCGGAATAATCAGTTCTTTAACTGGCAGAAGACCGTTACCAAAAAGTGTCAACAGTGATAGATTGGCACTTATCGATCGGTTACGGGAGTCTCTCGTCCGGTTTTGCCTTGGGGCTCGCTCCCGAGTCCCACCAGTAGCCACAGAGCGGTTAGTATTATACTTGTACTTGTTACGGCTGCGATCATGCCTGACCTCGACGACCTCAATCATGTCACGGACGG